TCCTCTTCAGCATAATGAAATAGACTTGAAAATTTCTAAGGTTCTATTAGTTCTGACATTCTAGGCTTCATATACATTAAGTTGATCCATAAGTAATCACTGTGTTTGTAGGTTAGAAACAGCTGGGTATCATAGTTTCATCTGTGGTTCCATCTAATACCTGCAATGTGGCTGGTGAATATGTTACAAACTATCCCAGATCTCAGCTAGAACCACCCACTGCTCTGTTTGTCCAGTTTCAACTTAAGGGATCTCCATGTGGTCCCCAGAAGTACCCATTAAAACATACATATTTGTGTATAGCAGAACTCTGAAATAATATTTTGATAGCAGTTATCTCTGAGGAATTGGATTATGGATGCCTTTCCCTTTCCACATTATATATTTATGTACTACTTGACTGACTTGACCATAAGCATGTTACTTGTATAATAAAAGGAAAAAATATACTTCCACTTTGAACAAATAAAAATAAAACCCTTTGAGTTCTTGAATGGAGGATCACAGAACACATTTGCTGCCATGAGCAGTTATGTTGATGCTCTGCAAACCTGCGCTGAGCCCTGTTGCTCAAGCCCTTCCTCATCTCTTCTTAAGGGAGAACGTAGAGACTTCCTCAAGATGTGACATATAGGAAGACAACAGATTCAAAAAGTTACAGCTGATAGGACTTTAGACACCATCCAGCTCGAACTTCCAAATAAAATATGGAACGCAATTGGGTATAAGAATGAGTGGTTAGGTGATGAATGTCATAAGGATTTTGAGAAATGAAATTGACTGGGAGGAGTCAGAGAAAGGTAGAACTTGAACTGGGCTTTGAAAGTTAGGACAGAGCTAAATGGGCAGAGTGAATGAAGGGACCAAGACCAGGGAAGCTTAGAAGCAGATGTCGGGGAGCTCCCTCCTGGACAGGGCAGGTGGGCTGGGGGGACAGCAGAAAGCAGACCTCCTGGGGCTACTCCATGACTTCATTGTTCCCAGTGAAGACTCCCCTTCACACAGTCCTCATGCTCCCTGGGCTTAATCATGAAATAATACAAATTATTTTGGTTGCAAGTTACAGGCATTCAATGTATATTACCATAAGTACAAAAGGGAATTTCTAAGGTATATGAGGTAGCTCATAAACAAGGAGCTGCAGACACCAGGGCAATTCCAGGAATCTTGAGGACTAGAAAAACCGATCTGTCTGAATTCACAAAGTAAGAGTTCAGTATGTTTCCTTACACACATCCAGGTTGGACGAAATAAAATTCTAGGATTTGAAGGGAGTAAAATTTAAACATTCTAATATCCTATAGTGGCCAGGTGCAGTGGCTCATGCCTGTAATTCCAGCACTTTGGGAGGCCAAGGTGGGTGGATCACATGAGGTCAGGAGTTCGAGACCAGCTTGACCAACATGGTAAAACCCCATCTCTTCTAAAAAAAAAAACCCATTAAATTAGTTGGGTGTGGTGGTGCACCCCTATAATCCCAGCTACTTGGGAGGCTGAGTCAGGAGAATCACTTGAACTGGGGAAGTGAAGGTTGCAAGGTTGTAGTGAGCTGAGATTGTACCATTGCACTCCAGCCTGGGCATTAAGAGTGAAACTTTGTCTCCAAATATGTATATTTGAGACTAAGTTTTGTTTTATATATATGTGTATATATACATATATATCTCCTACGGTATAGGCACTTCTACGTATATATTCTATGTTATAGGCACTCCTCTCAGCCCTCTCTCCAGCCCAGTTGTCTGGAAGCCTCTCCTGCAACCTCTTGCAGGTCAAAGCCTGTAGAAGCTTTGTCTTCACAGGTTCTGCCCTCTGCTGGCCAAATCCTGACACCTCGCCTTAAGCCCTCAAAGTGAAACCAATAATCATTCATTCAGCAGATATTATTGAGTGCCTACTGTGTACCAAGCATTCACCTAGGCACACTTGGAATACACAAGTAAACAAAAACATCCCAGAAATTCCTGCACTAATACTTTAGAGCATTTACTCCATGCTAGGCATTGGGCTAAGCATTTTACACACCTGAACTCATTTAGCTTTTAAAACCCTCATAACAACCCTGTGTAGTAAGCAGGTATTCCTTACAAGTACTTCCACAGAGCCCAGTTGTTTTTGACTAGCACCTTCATGTACCTTCAGACGAATTTAGGTCCAATGGTACACACAGCCCAGAGCATAAATCTTAACAGTCCCCAAAAATGAATGAGAAAGTGATTTGGGAAAAGCATGGCAGAGTACTGACACGAGTGGCCTGAAGTTGAGTTTCCTAAAAACAGACCTTGAGACAGAATTCGGTCTCACTCTGTTGCTCAGGCTGGAGTGCAGTGGCCTAATTCAGGTTCACTGCAGCCTCGATTTCCCAGGTTCAAGCGATCCTCCCGCATCAGTCCCCCGCCCAAGTAGCTGGGACTACAGGCTTGTTCCATCACATCCAGCTAATATTTGTTTGAATTTTAGTAGAGATAAGGTTTCGCTGTGTTGCCCAAGCTGGTCTCAAACTCCTGAGCTCAAGCGATCCTTCTGCCTCGGTCTCCCAAAGTGCTGAGATTACAGACGTATGCCACCACACCTGGCCATCCAGCAGACATGTATTCATGGGAAGCATTTTTCAGGAAAAACCTGCAAGGGAGAGAGTGGAGTAGACAGAAAAGGGAAAGTACCATACAAAGTGTGTCTCGGTCACATCTAGCCTTGGCCTGATCCACAGGGAACTGTTATATATGGGGGCATAAGTCCCACAACAGAATTACACTTCCTTGAGGCAAGGCAGCTGGCCTTTTGTATCCCCAAAGCAGTCAGTCATTGGTTGTGGGCCACCCTGGCAGGGAAGGGGGACAAGATGAGGGTTTTGAGGAGGTTCCCATCAGCTGTGGGGAAGGGAGCAGCTGTAAGCTACTGCAGAATACAGCAGTGGAAGAAAGGTCAGCACAGGAGGGCTTTTGGTTGGAGATTAACAATAGCCTCATTCCTTGGGAAGGTTGTAAAGCTCTTTCCTCATCACAGAATTGGCCCCACCTTTTGTGACCTTATTTTACTACCCTGTATCAGTCAGTCATTGGCTGCTAGTTGCTCCCAGGTGTGTTCATATTTGACTCAGGCCAAATCTCTGGGGATTGGGACGGCTCTGGTCTGATGGCATCCAACATGGCAGCCTCGTGAAGGAGGCCCCTCTAGGGCCCCATGAGCATTCATGATAGCTGTGCTGTTGGGGAAACGAAAGTAGAAGCAGAGTGTCACATCTTGGGAGCTCCTTCTAGTTTAAGAGACAAGAAGCACACACCAAATAATGAACAAAAACAAGACAATACCAAATAGAACCAAGTAGGAAACAATATTATTAAGCATCAGAAAGTGTGGGGGACTGATACTAATGTGATGGTCAAAAAGAGGAGAGGACACCGGGCGCAGTGGCTCATGCCTGTAATCCCAGCACTTTGGGAGGCTGAGACAGGTAGAGCACTTGGGGTCATGAGTTCAAGACCAGCCATGGTGAAATCTCATCTCTACTAAAAAAAAAAAAAAAATTAGCCAGGCATGGTGGCATGCACCTGTAATCCCAGCAACTCAGGAGGCTGAGGCAGGAGAATCACTTTAACCCAGAAGGCAGAGGTTGCAGTGAGCCAAGATCATGCCACTGCACTCCAGCCTGGGTGACAGAAAAAGACTTTGTCTGAGAAAAAAAAAAAAGAGAGAGAGGTAAGTTCATGCATGTTTCTGGGAGGAAACAGAATTTGTGGTAGGATATGAGGAACTGGTAGGATTTGGTTAGAAAGTCCAATGTAGGCTGGGTGTGGTGGCTCACACTTGTAATACCAGCACTTTGGGAGGCCGAGGCAGGAAGAACATGGGCCCAGGAATTTAAGACCAGCATGGGCAATATGGTGAAACCCCACCTCTATGAAAACCTTAAAAAAAAAAAAAAAGCCACATGGTGGTGTGTGACTACTCAGGAGGCTGAGGTGGGTAGATCAACCTGATCCTGGGAAGTCAGGACTTCAGTGAGCTGTGATCACACCACTGCACTCCAGCTCTCTCTCAAAACAAACAAACAAACAAACAAAAAAAAAACCGTCCAGTATAGCATTGTCCAAGCTCAGTGTTCCAAGTAGGTGGGTGGCTCTGCTCTACCCAAACATTCAAAGACTGAGAAAAGCAACTGCTGTCTTCAACATGCAGCTTCCAAGGTCACTCGTTGTCAAAGCATTTCTGGTTAGTGAGGAAAGAGAAAGAATAGAACTCCAGGCCAAGGACTTACTCTTAAGAAAGCAAGGCAGGCTGGGTGTGGTGGCTCATGCCTGTAATCCCAGCACTTTGGGAGGCTGAGGTGGGTGGATCACCTGAGGTCAGGAGTTTGAGACTAGCCTGGCCAACATAGTGACCCCCCGTCTCTAAAAAAAATAAAAAAAAAAAAAAAAAAAACATTAGCTGGGCATGGTGGTGCATGCCTGTAATTCCAGCTACTGGGGAGGCTGAGTTAGGAGAATCACTTGAACCTGGGAGGCAGAGGTTGCAGTGAGCTGAAATCGCACCATTGCACTCCAGCCTGGGCAACAAGAGTGAAACTCCATCTCAAAAAAAAAAAAAAAAAAAAAAGAAAAGAAAAGAGAAAAGAAAGCAAGGCAAAAGCTGTGTATATCTCTTCTTCTCAGCTCCATTGATGAGGGTTTAAACAACATAGCCACAAATTGGCTGCAAGGGGAGCTGGCAAAGGAGGTACCTATCTGGGTGGTCATGTCCCAGACGAATATCTATCACTATGGAGTAAGAAGCGAATGATTTCTGGTGGACAGCCGCAGATATCTTCACCCCACCCTCCTCAGTCTGCGCCACAGGATTAGTCAAGATAAAAACATTTATAACCCTGCTGGGAAGGAAGAAGTGCCGTTACTTTGATTAGATCATGTTTTGGAGAGAAAGGGTGAAGACAGGAGCCTTTTGAGTTTAACTTAGCCTATCCTAGGAGTGTGAGTTTTGCCCGTTTTTTTTTTCTGGCACAGGTGAGTCTGGTCTCTCCTCTCATTGGAATAATATCATCCAAGATAAGCGGTTTAGGCATAGGAGTAATAGACAAAGTACGGCTTTCAGCCAACCATGTATAGAAAAAGATTCTTCTCATTGGAGTTATATCCAAGATATCGGTTTAGGCATAGAGGAAACAGACAAAGCAAGGCTTTCAGCCAAACTTATACAGAAAAAGAATCTTTTAGGTGCTGCTAAGAAACCAAGAACATGATTTCCCTGGATGAAATTAGAGAACCATCTGTGGCAGTGGTTGAACTGTGATGGAGAATAAGCTCCTGGGAACAAGAAAGTCAGAAATTCATGAGCAGGAAAGAAAAAGGGAAGAAAAACTAATATTTGATGAACAACTGAATTCCTCACTGCACGTTGCCCTGGGCCACAGGGAACTGTCTCACCAAGGTTATAGCCCCTCCTGGGGGCAGCTCACAACCATTAAAGGACTGATGCAGGGATCCAAAGGACTGATTTCATCACCAATTTGCAGCAACTCTGAGGGGCTCCAGAATTCCCCAAAGGATCAGCTGAGACTTCAGTGGCAACCACATTGTGAGTTAGCTTCTTCCCCTGCCAACCCCTGCTTTCTCACTTCCTATTTCCCAAGAGTACTTCCCCCAAAAACCTTCTGCATGCAATTCTCCATCTCAGTCTGTTTCCAAGAGAAGCAATCCCTTCCTCAAGAACTGTGCCTTAACATGGAGTCTATTCCAAACTCAGTGCCAGTAATGATACAGCAATGGATGATAGAATGTAAATGAAGGCAGTTAGTGGTTCTAGCAAACCAAAAAGAAAGCAAGGCAGTGAGAGACCAGCTATGCAGAAAACAGCCAGCTGTATTCATTGAATAAGAAGAACTAGCCACTAGAGGGCCCAGCACTACAGGTCTACCGCTCTGCTGCTACTTGAGAGCACAGAATTTTGCCCTTGATCTGGCAGACATCCAGCATAATTGTCTACACCAGAGGGAGCAGTGTTGGCCATTGCTTCCTTCTCTTTTACCTATTGCGGAGTCACCAGTGTCCTAGCCTGTTCTGATACCCTAGCATCAAGCCCCCATGCCATGACATATGAGCTTATTCCCATAAATCAAGGCTTCCAAAGCCTGTTTTTTTCCACCCACTGTTCTCATTGTTCCAAGGGAGTCTGAAGATGTGAAATGTGAAATTCCAAATAATTGGTCATGACCATCATCACCTAGGAATGGAGAGAATCAGCAACATATTGTCTAGAACTGCCACTTTCTCCACACCTCCATCCCCTCACCTACCAAATTTGTAATAAAGACACATAGACTTAGACACAAAATATGTAGCCAAGGGAGAAAGGGGACATGAGAGCCTTCACAGAAGATGAAAAAGTTTGAGAACATTGTGTAATTGAGTGAATTATTTCTATTGTGGATTTATTTAAAGACTTAAAGGAAATTTTCTTTTGCACTCTATTTGGAAGGACAGTCCTTTGTATGTTGGGGACTTCCATTACCTCAGGAGGAAAATATTGGGAGGCCTCTGTTTCCAAAGTATAAATTCCTCAAGGGTCAGAGTTAGATTGTCTGGGAGAGGGAAAGCTCTGAGGATTTAAGGGACAAGAGCTGAATTCTACAAGACCAGGAGGATGGAGGGTTGGTGCAGGCCAGCCCGTGAACTCTCTTCCATTGCCCTCCTAGTAACTCTAGTAGTGATGGCTACAAAGATATCTGGGGGATAATTACCAAACCATAGCTTTGGGACCATACATGAGTTCTTGGTGGCCAGGTTTACAATGGAAGGAGTAAATATCTTGCGCAAGTGGGCCAGATACATCTAGATGCTCCACATCTGCTTGGACAACGAGCATCTTCACAACAACTGCAATGGACTGAGATGGTCTCCCAGGTTTTCTAGATTGGGGAAGCCCTGGGGGTTTTGCATCCCCACAAAGTCTCTGAAATTAGATGTTCCACAAACCTGGCAGGTGGAGGTGAAGCTACATTTAATTGGATTTGAATTAGACAGATAAAAATTTGATTTGATTCAGAAAAATGAAATACAATGTTTTCATACTTGCTATTAAGCAAATCAAATGGGCTAGAATACTGAGAGCTCTGATATCACAATAGCAAACCTAGCCTGGCCCGGTTGATAGAAGAATAGTAATACACTACCGAGGGGTTGCCATGTGTTAGGCAGTACATTCTTTCATTTAATCTCCACAATATACCTATGAGGTAGACTAAGACAGAGAAGTGGCTTGCCCAAGGTCACATGGTTAGTAAATGGCAGATTAAGTTTGTTGGACTCCATGTCTAACTTCTATGGCCATTCAGTCCCTGTCGTCTAGCCATTCATTTACTGACATCTAATTTATCATTCACTAATCCGTTTGGCCAGATATGCACTCAGTCGGTGAATAGGATTAATAGTCAGTCTGTTTCTTAAACAGTGAGACAGATCTAGTTGTAGTTTAAAGAACAAAAGAATTTTAGAATCATAGACTATTTGCACTGGTAGCTGGTCTAGTAGGAAGAGCAAAAGCTTTAGAACCAAATGAACTTGACTGGATTCTTGGCTCTGCTATTCATTCTCTATGTGACCTTGAGCAATTTATTTAACCTCTCTGATTCTCAGTTTTCATATCTGTATATCACAAATAATAATATATGTACATTCTCACTAGACTAATATGAATAGTAGAGATAATGTCACATGGAACCAATACAAAAATGCAAGTCCAAGTACGAAATGAAAAACCTGGCACCTCGTTCAAAAATTACCATGAATTTAAAGATGGTGACAGCAGAGTATTAAACCAAGTGTAGGGGCCCTTCTAAGCAGAGGCCCTGATGGTTCATCCACAGCCCAGCACAGAGTGAGTCTGCAATAAATTGTAGTCCCTTTTCTCTCTAGATCACTGATTATAACCCTCTCCTTTTGCAGGTGAGGAAACTAAAGTTCACAGAAGAGTTTAAAAATGCAAATTAGAGCCAGGTGCAGTGGCTCACGCCTGTAATCCCAGCACTTTGGGAGGCCAAGGCAGGTGGATCACGAGGTCAGGAGTTCGAGACCAGCCTGGTCAACATGGTAAAACCTCATCTCTACTAAAAATACAAAAATTAGCCGGGCAAGGTGGCGCACACCTGTAATCCCAGCTATTCGGGAGGCTGAGACAGGAGAATCACTTGAACCCAGGAGGCAGAGGTTGCAGTGAGCCAAGATTGCACCATAGCACTCCAGCCTGGGTGACAGAGCAAGACTCTGTCTCCGGGGGAAAAAAAACACAACTTAGTAGCAGAGCCAAGACCACAACTAGGCCTCCTTTGTTCTTAGCCAGTGGTCTTTACCCAGCATTTCCAACATGTGTTCTATATGATGAAAATAGATATTTCATTTATAAAAGTTTCCATCAACAAGCAAGTTTATTATAAAATATTCGATTAAAGTTAAACAAAAATCTTTTGCAGAGCTCTTCAGAGACTTCTATGTGCAACAGGAATCTCCAAGACAGGGATATAATATGAAACATTGCACAAAAGTATTTTATGTGAAACCCTTATTCAGGAGCATATTAAGCATCTCTTAGAACTCCTTCAGAAATGCCACTCTAAATACTGCCCCAGGATGATGGAAGTTTCCATGAGTTTTGATCTGTGGGGTGTGGTAGTTTTAATTCTAAATTAGAAGCCAATATATTCTTTCCATTAGGTCTTTCTGTCAGCATCCCTGTCCCAGCTGACTTGTGAGCCTGAGGATATAAAGATAATGAAAACCAGACTCCAGGAAAAGCACACTTGTTTAGAGTCACCCAGCTGCATCCATAAAGCAGATGCAATATGCCTTTCTCCCAAGAGTAGGAATACAGAGATAAAACATACGCCAGAATCCCAAAATTCTTTCCATTCTGGGTAATTTGCTCACAGTCACCACATTGCAAAAGTAATAGCTAAAGTCTCCCATAAAGTCACATAAGAAGCTGGGAAATCAGGATTCTCATCTTAGCGCCTTCATTTATTAGCCATTTGACCTAAATTGATTAATTCATCTGCTCATCACCTTATTTTTATCACCTTATTTTTATCAAATATCTTCTTGCATCAAATTAAATTAATCTCTTCCTTTGTTGAACTACCATTATTATTTCATCTGTAACACTCCTTCCTCCAGGACTTTGAGAATCTCTATGGAATGCAGTTTGAAAATCAGCAGATTAGATGATTACTGTAGATCATCCAGTCTATATGGATGGATGAAATCTATACAGAATCTATATGGAAAGGAACTATAGCTCCTTTCAGCTTTAACAGTCTATGATTAAAATTTATATACAGTTTTGCAACCTGTTGCCTCTGCCTATTAACCAAGAACCCTAGTTCCCTGAAAAATGCACCTCTTAAGTTCTGAGAGGCCCAGAGAGTGATTCTCACATGCTGAATTGATGAGATGCGAGGTGACTTGGACCCTTCTGGTGTGCCCAGTACACAGCATCTATTATGTGGAATTCATGGAGGGGAGGAAACTATCACTCTCCCCATCACGCTATGCTTTGTCACATGGGTTTCTAATGGATATTATTTATGTCCTTTGACTCAGTTTTCAGTAAAGCACTCTTCTATATTTTGCTGATTCCTTCCTAATCCCATTTTCCCTCTACAAATTCCTAAGCATGATCTGCAGCAAGGCCAAGAAACAAATCTGCACAACAAACCTAATGTTAAATGTTGGCTCATTCCTCCTTAATTTTGAAGAGTCTATTACTGGACTCACGTTGCCTATCTCCTCACTTTCCTTAAGATGAGTTCTCTCCCAGGAGAGACCCAAAGCCCTCATGAAAAATGGATTTTTGGTGAGTTGGTCCTACTAGTTGGAACATGCTCAGTTGGGTCATCCAGGAAGCAGATGCCAAAATGGAGTGAGAAGTGCCAGAAATGTACTGCAGGGGAATGCCTGTGAGGAGTAGGAGCAGATGGGAGAGCCTAAGATGCAGGTCTGACACCAGTGAAAAAAAGAGGGAAGGAAGAAGGGCCAGGCAGGAGGAGCCTCGGGTTTCAATGCAGCTCTGAGAAAGTCTCAGCCAGGCTGATAAGGAGCCCTAGAGCAGAGACTCTCCATTGGAGGAGCCCTGTGTTGGGCAGGAATGGCCTGGCTTTCATACATCTGCAGAGCACCTGTGTGAATTCCAAAAATGGACATAATTTAAGCTCAAACACAGTGCTATATGTACATTTATTGCAATTGTTTATTGAGTGTACAAAAAGTGTTGTGCTTGGCACAGCAGCAGCCCCACCCTCTCCAGTGGAACTGAAGCTAAAAAGGGCTAGTCTGGGAAGGTTTCGGGTAAACAGGTGAGTTTTTCTTACTACGATTGTCAACAACAGCCTCCATTGTAGATTAACTCTGCGTCAAGCTTAGTACAAAAGAGAACAATTTTCAGGGAGCTTAAGTTTACAATAAAATATTCCTCACACAAAGTGCTCAGAGCAGACTTCTGAAGACTTTACATGCCAATCGCTGGATGCTGCAAGGAGGGAGGAACCTCTTAGAACTGGCCCTGGAGGCTACCAGAGAGACCTTGAAACTGATCTGGCAGCCAAATGGGTGGTGCAAGGACACGCTCCAGCTGGCAGCTTGGACCCTGCCAGCCAAGCTGTAGGATTTCTTGAGAGACAGGCCCAACACCTGTTGTGGAGCTGGATGAGATTCAAAATTTAAGGAAAAAGGACAGAAGAGGAAGGAACTGGAAAAGAGGAATTTGTAACTAGAAGAGAAGAGACAACAGGCTTTTCAGAACCATGCCAGAATTCATCCCATTCTAATCACCTGCCAAAAAAGAGATAGCGTCCGTGGTAGAAAGAACACTGGACATGACACCTAAGCTCTGCTGCTAACTCTTTGGCTGACCTGTGTCACTCAATGCCCCTCTGGGCCTGTGCTTCTTGGCTGTAATCTGCAGCACCTAAAATTCTTCCATTTGAACAGTCTAGTATTCGAACAATCTCCTTAAAATAATCATGGAAGAGCCTAGCATGAAACAGCAGGGGAAAGGATAAAAAGAATTTCCTGTGAACCCAGGAATAATAATATAATAAATATATCATAACCTAATAACCTACCCTAACCTAATCATAGCAAGCATTACAATAGGCAGTAGAATCTGGGAATGGGAGCCAGTAACATCTCTAGGGTGGAGGTAATTTCAAGATCAAGACATCAGTGCATTGAAACGTGACGCTGTTCTATCTTTATAAAGTGCGCAGATGGTTGGGGAAGGAAAGTAGCTCCACCTGTCAGCTGATTCTAAAATATCTGAGCTTCATATACATTCCTTCAACACATGAACCCCTAATGTCACTAAAGCAAAGAGATGGAACTGTCCCTGACCTTTCCTGAATGCTCCTCCAGTTTTCTCTTAGAAAAGTCATTTGTACTCTCCTTTAAATCTGCAATCGCAGTTTGCTTTCACCTAGGTAAGAATGCAGGGAGGGGAAAGCATACTGTGTTTTTTCCCCCAGTCCTACTATTTTAGGATTCTAACAACAACAGTGTTGCATGCTCCCTTATTTCTCTCGTTGAGCTAAGAAAATGCCACAGATAAAACACCAAAACGAAATGAAAAACTGCAGTCAAGAGAACATAATTAGCAGCCAATCAGGAAAAGGCTGTACAATGCCCAGGCCTTTAGATACTTTATCCTCTAGGCTGGGCCCTCCCAGAGAGGATCAGGTTTTCTTTTGGGGTTTCTTTCTTTTTGAATTAAGCACCACTGAGGGCTATGGTCCAGAAACACAAACTCTTAACCTAGTCCCTGGTAGACAAACAGGTCTAGGAAGATCGAATAACCTGCAGGGAGAGAGTCCTCTGGGATCCATGGGAGACCAAAATGAAGCAAAGAAAAAAGGGATTGTGGTGGCAGTGAGGACACAGGAGTAGCCACAGGAGGGCTGTACTGCCTAAATAAATAATGGCATGTTTGGCAGCAGACTCAATTCTCAGACAGGCCTGGGGCCGACAGGCAGGCTGCCTGCTAACACACATTCACCCTTTGGATCTCAGCTTCAGTGTTATTTCCTCTGGGAAGGAGGGTACCACACACATTTGTACTGGTTTCCTGCTGCACACCAAGAGTGTGCTGATCACAGAACATATATTACAGATTTATACAGTTTTATAAAAATGTCCCAGCAGTTGGTGTTTTAAGGAAAGAGCACTCTTTTTTCTGATTCACCAAAAGGTGCTGGACTGGCAGTGACCTTGCTGAGAATCCTTTCCTAATTCTTACCAGAACAGGTTTAGTGCCCCTCCTATCTGTTCCAGAAGGACTCCATCTACCATGGTATTTACCACACTTTATTCTAATTGCCTTTTTACTATTCCATACACAGTCTAGATTATCAGCTTTATAATTTTTATTTTTAGACTGTGTCTCGTTTGACACTGTACTCTGGGCCTGAGAAAGGTGTTTGGCCCTAGCACAGGCTCAATGGTACTTGTTGAATGAATAAGCAACATATTCTGAGCCATTCCAATGCTCTTGCCCAAGTGGAAAGAGGGCTTGGCATAATAGAATACTAGCCATGTCCAGGGGTTGAGTTCTTGTTCTACCTCTAACTTACTACGTGACATTGGCAAATCACTTCGCCCCAGTATTTTTTTTTTTAATTTATTTTTTACTGTACTTTAGGTTCTGGGGTACATGTGCAGATCATGCAGGATTGTTGGATAGGTGCAAACATGGCAATGTGGTTTGCTGCCTCCATCACCCATTACCTGTATCTCACATTTCTCCCCATATATCCCTCCCCAGCCTCCTCACCCCACACTGTCCCTCCCCTAGCTCCCCCCAACAGACCCCAGCATGTGACGCTCCCCTCCCTGTGTGTTCTCATTGTTCAACACCCTCCTATGAGTGAGAACATGTGGTGTTTGATTTTCTGTTCTTGTGTCAGTTTGCTGAGAATGATGGTTTCCAGATTCATCCATGTCCCTACAAAGGA